ACCAAGAGCTTGTAACACTCCAAAGAGAAAGGAAAAATTGAAATCGCATCATATGACCCCTTTAAGTTTAAGAACCCCATTCATGATATCAAAATCAATTGCCTTTAGCCCACCTTCCTCATATTCCTTTATTATATAATTTTTCAGAATGTAGTGATATTTCTTTCTCCAGATGAAATCAAAATTCAATTTATTAATAGCTTTTATCTTTCTGGTAGAAATGGGCAATGAAGACCCTGGGTAAATTAACCTTGAAAGACTCTATTTTTGTTAATATTCTCCCGAATATTGTGATGTCCCTCTGTAACCAAAAGTTCAGATTGGATCTACATTTTTCAATATTTCTGTCAATATTTAAGAATTCTATTCTATCTTCATCTTTTGAAATTATAATTCCTAAATATTTTACATCCTTTTAAATTGAAATATTATATAATGAGGATAAGGGGCAGGCATGAATAGCCATCAGTTCACATTTTGATGTATTTAACTGTAATCCTGATGCTTTTGCAAAACATTTTACAGAGTGAAGTGCTAGGGGGATCTGTATTTGTTGTTTTTTTTTTTTAAAAGGGTTGTATCATCAGCAAGTTGACTGATAATAATTTTGTGATCCATAAAGTTAATACCAGCAATATTCTCGTTTTTTAAGAGAATGGCTAACAATTCTGCAACCATAATAAACAACAGAGGTGAACTACCACAGCCCTGTCTTATACCTCTGTTCACCTGAAATCTTGGGCATGTTCCTTTGGGAAGAGCAACCAAACTATTTATGTCATTATACAGCATTTTGATGATATTAATAAATTTTGGTCCAAAACCAAAATGATAAAGAGCCTGGAAAAGAAAAGGGTGTTTGACCATATCAAAGGCTTTAAAAAAGTCCAGAAATAAAATAAATCCATCGTCTTTAAATGATTATATTCTAAGATGTCAAGCACCAAACGAATATTGTTATGTATTGTTCTACCCTTAAGGAACCCAGATTGAGTCTCACTAATTATTTGTGGAAGTCCTACTTTTAGTCTAGCAGCTAACAATTCTGCAACCATAATAAACAGTAAATAAACAGTAAATATTTTGTAATCAGTATTGATAATAGGCCATAGATTATCTAAAATTATTTTATCCTTACCAGGTTTTGGGATCAAAATAATAAGACCCTGCTTCATCATAGGCAATAAGTCATTATTCATAATACAATGATTAGTGCTTCTAAAAGTAAATGTTTTAAGTCTTCCCAAAAAAACGTATAAAAGTCTGATGTCAGACCATCTGGTCCAGAAGATTTGCCCGATTTCATTCTTTTTAAGGCTAGATCTAATTCTTGATTCAAGATTCTAATTCAAGTCTGAATCACATAATTCTTTGAATGAATTCTCAATTTTAGGAATATGACTTCACTTTCTTAAAGAACTCATTAGTATTATCATTGGAATGAGATGTATATAAATTTGAATAAAATTGAAACACCTCATTTACAATAGTATTATAACATTCTTTCTGATTTATTAATAAACTGCCTACATTTCTCTCTTGACGTCTTTTTTCAAGATTACAAAAATATGAACTATTTTTCTCCCCCTCTTCCATCCATTTTGCTCTTGACCTCACATATGCACCCTTTGCCTTTCTTATATAAAGTTCAGCCTCATTTGTTAAAGGGGGCATATGATGCTTTTTTAAAGATCATTATTTTGTGTATTTGGACAATCAGCTTGTAACACTCCAAAGAGAAAGGAAAACTTGAAATCGCATCATATGACCCCTTTAAGATAGATTTACAACAGCACTTATTGATCTCCTGAATTAGCTGAATTTCCTTCTCTTGTCTTTTTTTTTAAGATTAATCGCAAAAGTTATTGAGTATTCTCCGAGTTTATATTTAAAAAATTCCCATTTACTGCACCTAGGCATACATTTCTTACCAATATCAGTTATAATCTTCTTTATATATATTCCATAGTCTTCCTGATTCAATAATTCAGCATTACATTTTCAATACCCTTTAGTTCTACGAGAGTCTTCCTTTGGTTTTAAATTTAAATCAATTAAACAATGATCAGTTAATGGAGCACTAGAGATGGTACACTTACATACATAATTAGAAACAGCCTCAGTGCCAAGCCAGTAATCAATTCTTGATCTGGCATTTGCATTGGGTTTAATCCAAGAAAACGGTCTAATGTCCGGATTGTGCAGTCTCCAAATATCAATCAATTGGTTTGAGGAGCAGAAATTTTGAATAATGTAATTGATTTGAGAGGCATTATATTTAGATTTCTTACCAATATCAGTTATAATCTTCTTTATATATATTCCATAGTCTTCCTGATTCAATAATTCAGCATTAAATTTCCAATACCCTTTAGTTCTACGAGAGTCTTCCTTTGGTTTTAAATTTAAATAAATTAAACAATGATCAGTTAATGGAGCACTAGAGATGGTACACTTACATACATAATTAGAAACAGCCTCAGTGCCAAGCCAGTAATCAATTCTTGATCTGGCATTTGCATTGGGTTTAATCCAAGAAAACGGTCTAATGTCCGGATTGTGCAGTCTCCAAATATCAATCAAGTGGTTTGAGGAGCAGAAATTTTGAATAATGTAATTGATTTGAGAGGCATTATATTTAAAGGGATGTCTGTCTAACCACTCATCTGGAGTCAAATTGAAATCTCCACCAATTAAAATAAAATCTGTGGGGTAAGTGGACTTCAAATCCTTTATGATATTAGTAATTGAAAAAAGCAACTCTTTATTCTGGATGCGACTATTATATCCATACACATTTATCAAAATGAAAAATAATTTATCTAAACTGAGAACCATTGCTAGCCATTGACCATTGTCATCCGCTTTGTTAAAGATGATTTTACCAGGACATTTCTAAAAACAAACAGCGACCCCAGCAGATCGGTTCGAGCCATGACTAAAAAACATGTCATCACCCGAGAAGGGTATAACTGCAGCCTGGAGATCTCCAAATGGGGGCGGGAACTCCAAAACGGGGTGGGAGCTCCAAAATAGGGCGTGGTTTCCTCCCATTGACAGACAGGCACATGACACGCATGCGCAATTTTTTCCCCCAATCCACTTCAGTGCAAACTCCGCCCCACAGCTGATTCTAAAGTTTTTATTGGTTGTGTCAATTAAAGTGTTGATTTCCTACACAATGCTACAAAAAATGCTAACCCCTAAACCTACCCCACACCTGACCCTAACCTTAACCAGTGAAATTGACTGCACGGCGGGATTGGCGCTGAATAGCGTGGTAAAGAAAGTTGCGGTTCAGGAGATAAACAGTTAATAAGATTATGCGATAGGAGATCGTTCCGTAACTCCCCAACCGGACAATGGCACCTTTTTAGTTACACCCAGCGTCACTACCCCCTCCTACCCTGCAAATTTCGTGCCCGGGGATGCCCCCGTTGCTTGGAACAAAGCCATAGAGTAAAATCTTTCCCCTGCGCTGACGGCTCGTGGGTGATTCCCGTTTATATCATTAAGCAGAGGTTCAAACTCCAGTCCGAACACCACTGGCCACGAGCTTTGGGCTCTGCTCTCACGGAGAATGTTTATTTATATAGCATATTTTATTTTAGATCAACTAGAAACAATGTTTAATTTATAAAGTTTTATTTTGAAATGTAAGTCAATAACAATTGGCCGAAGCCAGAGCCAATGGTGAAAGTCTTTGCGCGAAGAGACCCCGCCCCATTTTGGAGGTTCTGCCCACTTTTGGAGTTCACGCCCCATTTTGGAGATCTCCGGTCTGCAGATATACCTACTTGGATCACCCCACTGATTATGCCAGAAAGGAACATCCGAAGCTTCCGAATGTGTTTCTTGAAGAAAAAAATATTCGATTTTTGGTTTTTGCAAAAAAGGAAAATTCCTTTTCTCTTAACAGAGTCTTTCATACCCCTACAGTTTAAAGGCGCAAATGAAACTTCAGATAATAACGAAAACATGAAAACGGTTCACTAATACTGAACTTTGAACTTTCCAAAAACTTTATCACTAGACGAAAGTTCAAACAAAATAAGTAATGCAGAGTCCCACATTATTTGTCCTCCATCTCATCTTTCAGATGAAAATCTCTGTTCAAACACCCGTTAGTTCTCTGAAATAGGCTACGTCTCCCATTTATGTATCCATAAGGACCCCAAAATCCAGCCGACTTTCCTTCTTTCCTGGCTTGCTCAATTTTCGGCCACATCGCTCGTCTTGCCAGTCTATCTTCTCTTGTTAGATCTTCCGCGAATCTGATTCCAGCATTCTTGCACACCGCCTTCGTTCGTACGAGCAAAGAGAATGATTACTTCTCTGGATCCGTTCACCTCTTTTCTTCCCACCCGATGCACAACATCCACCCAACCCATGTTGGAAGCGAATTCAGGGGTAATTTTAACAAGAAGTTGGAGCACATCTTCCCTGATGTTTTTATTAGCCTTTTCCTTCATTCCTTTGATGCGAAAGAACCATCTTCTCTTATATCTCTCCTGGTCTAAGACACAGCTTCTCAAATCACCATTTTCTTTAGTGAGCATACTCACTTGCTTTTCCATCATGTTGACTTTTTCTCTACATTCTTTCAACGCTTCGGCATAAATCTGCACAGCCTTTGCTACGCTGGTGATCATGGTGCTGTGCTGTTTTAGTTGCGCACTAATGTCTTCGTGCTGCTCGTCAACTTTGACCCCAAGTGCTTTGATCGCTTCAAGGATAGCAGTATTAGATACTTTGGCGGATGGGTCGATTCCAGGTGACTTTAGATTTTTTTCCCACTTTGAGATTTTATCGGGGTGGGTGGGTCCGATTCACCTCTTTCTCTTTTGTTTGAGACATCGGTAAAGTCCACCTCATAGCAGTGTACTTCCATTTGATCTTTAAACAAGCGACTACAACAAAAATACGTTATCCACCTTGAGAATATCAGTGCCGAGTATAATGAGCACATAATTTCAACCAATAATTGGAGTGTAAAAGCATCATTTATGAATTAATTTTTAACCTTTTCATATAAAAACTGGAATAAATACAAAACTAGAGCCAAACTAAAACTTAAATAAAACATTAATAATAAATAATAAGTAGTGAATTAAATGAAATAATCATAACTAAAGCACATATGAAAGCACGTATTTCTGTACATTTCGAAATAAGGTGCATTAAAAGTCAACAAATCCTTAATATGAATATTTTAATTTAAAAAAACGTGTCTCCACGTAGTATTCAATCAAATTCTAGTGCATTTAATCTATTAAATAACGTACTTCAAATGGATCACAAGTGTTTGGTTACAATGTAAAAAAAAAATCCTGTAAAAAATGGCAAAAAGTCTGGCAGCAGAGTTTCCAGACGGATTCCATTAAATTACAGAAAATATCCATTTCACAAAAATACATGCAAAAACTGTAAAAATACAGAATAGACTTTACGGTCAAAATTCGTTAAATTACTGTTGGAACTATCGAAAAATTGATAAATTGTCAAATTACATAGAAAAACAACCGACTTTCAGGTTAATCGCCATGAATTTAAGGTTTGAATGAGTTATTTTATAAAACTGATCTGTCCATCTACAGTAATTTACTTTTAAAGTACAGTTTTTACATGTACAATAACTAAGAAATAATTGATAAAAATGCAGTAAGCACATATTTATAATAAAAAAAATAAAAAAAAGTTTGTATATTTACAGGATTAATCCTTTTTACAGAAACAATTTCACAACTTCAACCAATCTGTAAATTAAAAGGTATTTAGAAGTTATTTTATGTCTACTCTGGAGAGAACAAGAGCTTGGACAAGGAGTTCTGTAGCATGCCCCGTAAGGAAGGGTCTGATCTTCCTAATGTTATACAGGGCAAATCTGCAGGATCGGGCCAGTGCAATGATCTGGAAGTGCAAAACATGAGCAGTTCTGTCTTGGCAAGGTTGAGTTGATGGTCATTCAACATCCAGCAAGACATTTCTGTCCAGGAGGCAGAGATGCGAGCAGTGACCGTCAGAACATCCAGCTGGAATGAAAGGGAGAGATGTGTGTCATTACAATAGCAGTAATATGAAAAGCCATGTTTCTGAATGACAGACCTATTGTCATGATATGTACATGGAGAGGAGAACTGTTCCAAACACTGAGGCACACCAGCAGCAAGATAACGACTTAGAAACCTCACCCTCCAAGACACCCTGAAGGACCTACCTGAGAGTTAAGACTTGAACCACTGGAGTGCAGTTCCTGAGACACGCTTTGTCAAGAGGGTTGACAGGACAATCAGGTGGATAACTGTGCCAAAAGCCGCAGACAGATCCAGCAAAATGAGTACAGATGACTTAGAAGCTGCTCTTGCAAGTCACAGAGCTTTAATAACCAAGAGCAGGGCAGTCTCAGTTCAGTGGCCGCTTTTAAAACCAGACTAGTTACTGTCCAGGAGGTTGTTCTGTGTGAGAAAGCAGAGGTTGAACATGACTCATTCATTTTTATCAAATTAATACAATTGTCTGATAGTGTTTTATTGATACAATGTTTGTTTCATATGAAGAACATACTTAAAGGAGAAATTATTTTTAACTCTAGGCCCAAATTACATGTTTTCATGGTCCCAGTTAACCCAAAAATTTATGTAAACTTTCTAAAATTTTCACTATCAATAACGATACCTCGACTTCGATACTGGTTCCTGATTTTTTCAAACTCTTAAACCCCTTGATGCCTCTCCACAAACAATCACCAGCACTTGATTTGGGCACATCAAGCATTCTGCATGCTTACCGTTTCACCGACATTGAAGTATTAAATTTGGTATCGAACAACAAGACATTTTTTGAAACTCAATGGTTTTGAGGCAATTCGGTCAGTGCCTAAAAAGTATCGGATACCCAGCCCTACCCAAAGGTGAAAATTCTCTTATGTTTTACTCACCCTCATGTCTTCCAAGATGTTTTTCTTTCTTCTGCAGATCACTTTGGGAGTTCTTTTAGAAAGTTGTCCAAGATCTGTTGAGGCATAAAATGCATCTGAGTGGGTATACCAACATTTTGATTATCCAAATATTTAATGTAGAAAGCATAAAGGTAATCCATATGGTTCCAGTTAATGAAACAAAGCACTACTGTTTAACTATAAACTTTGGCTTCTGCTTAAAATGACAATGACTGTTGTTACAATACATAATGTAGATTTCTTTAAAAGTGATTCCCCTCATACAATAAAATTCACAGACATCTTTTCATGCAGCTGTTTTACACTGATTTTGGTTTTAAATGGTCCTTGGTTTTTTTATTTACCCCTTACCACATAGGAACTGAAAATTATACACAAAGAACCACCATTTAAGAAAGAAAGAAAGAAAGAAAGAAAAAAAGAAAAAAAGAAAGAAAGAGCTTCATGAAAAGAAAATACATAATTTGTTGTATTATCATATAGCATTAGAACACTTGTCTATGCTAATTACAGATTTAAATAACATTAATAATAATAATAACAAAAGTTGACTTGTTCCACACCAGAATTGCCATGCTTATCTGCTGTAGATCACAGTCCTTCCACACGGCCTGAAGCCAAAAAAAACAAAACATTTTTTAATACTTTGTATTACATTCACACATTACAGCCTATGTTCCACTGAGACAATGATCTGAAAGCTGAGCAGGGGGCTGTTTCATAAAACTAGTTTGCCAAATAAGCCAGTCTTATTTCAGTTAGTCTGATTTATTTTGAACCAAATCAACTGACAAGAAGTCAGACTAAATTAAATAAACCTGGCTTAATATGATGAAGATCTGGTCAGTCGCACTGGTGCTCCTAAATATGTTTTCATAGTTGCACGCAGTAGTTTTCATAATCAGTAGCAAATGCGGCTGAAATGGTCACACTGTAGAGCCCTGAAGATGTATGTTTCATTCCTCATCAGAACACAAAGATTATATCAATTATTACTTATAAGATTAACATATGCACTTATAAACGCATATGTGTAGGTGAGCAAATGAGCCCAGAATATGAATACAGCACTTTTTTTTTTTTTTTTACTTTAGCTGCATTCATTGTGAAACTTGCTAATTAGCACATTATTAGGAAAGGCGATTTGCAAATATTTGTTAAAAAACCCTTACACACTTATTCTGTAGGTGAAGCTGGATCACAAATGATTCGCGCGAACATAGACGCATTTATGTAGATCGGGGGCGTATTCCCTTCAGAAACAATGTAATCCATTAGGGTGGTTGTGTACACACACTGCCAACACACATTTCAGTTCAAACTACTTGTAAAAGTGCATGTAGCATTATATGACCCCTTTAAGACAGTGACAATGAAGGACCAAATTCTGTATACTTCTTAATAAAATGTACTATATACATGTAGTGCTGGGCGGTATGACCAAAAATTGATATCACTGTATTTTCCAAAATTATACCGGTTTCACGGTACTAGGGCTGGGCAAAAAAAATATATTGATTTTTCGATTCATCGTTTTTTTTTTTCTCCACTAGATGTCACCCTTATTTACCTTGCGCGATGTTACAACAGAAAGCCTGTCATTCATTCAGCGCTTATGGCCATACGCGTGATTTGCAATGCTCAGGTGAAATGCTATATAGTAATACTATAAATCTGCGAAAGCATTTGATATCACGCATAAGGCGCCATGATTTCCGCAATGAATGAATGGCGGATGGCGCGGCACACTGTTTTGTTTACGCATACTAAAGCGCGGAAGACGCTCGCGGTGTTTTCAGCTTCTGCCATCTCACTATATGATGATATGAACACGAATGTCATCTCCAGCTGCTCTGAGAGTCACTTCATTAGCATTTTACCGTTTCATTTGAGAAAACTACCGTCATATCATATCACATACACAGCAGCTGCAAGTTCTTCACGGCAACCCGTCAAAATAAAAGTTTAGTTTAACGTTAAGAAACTGTCAGAATATATTACTATTTAGCAGTCTTAATACTCAATGCTACTACTGCTAATAAATATGAATACATCTTTATTTTTAAATGAATAATCACATCTGTTTTCTTTTTAATTTTAACAGTAAACCTCTGTTGTGCAGCACTTTGTTTGCCAAGAAATAAAAGGGTTTAATTTTCATTTGATTAGGATAAATAAATTAAATTAATGTTTTATGCCTTCATCTGATCACCAGAAAATTAAGAACATTTTATAGGGCCCTATTATTGTTTAAAAATATATTTTATTGTTAAAATAAATATTATTAGTTTAAATACATTTTTACAAAAAATATAGGTTTAAACTAGGTTTAAAATACAGGCATGTGGCTTAATTTCTTTTTATTAATTCACCATTTGTAAACTGATGTTTACTG